AAAAAATAAAACACTCATGAACAAAATTAAAAAATATTTAAAGGGCAAATATTTGAAAAAAAAATTTATAAGCAAAATTAAATAAAAATGTAAAAAGCAAAGACAAAAGGAAAAAAGAGAGAGGAAGATATTGATATTTTAAAAAACAAGCAAAGTTAAAAAAAAAAAAAAAAGATGCTAACAAGCACACTGTTGAAGTACGAAAGTTGTGCCTCATCCGCTTTTCTTAGAGGATGTTTGGTAGAGGGATTCGTTCCCTGATTCGAATCATGATTCATGATTTGCTACAGTATTTTCTCTCACAAAAAATTCACGTAAATCGAAAATGGTTCGCATCACATGGTTCGAATCATATGGTTATATAAGACTAGCTTGGGAGACGTGCCTTAGGCGCCCGTTAGTAACGGTTTTTTTTTTTCTTTTTTTTTCACTTTGCAATTTGCATATTTTTAAAAACAAATTTATTTAAAAAATATTAAATTTGATAAGTCATGTTTCTATACAAATATTTTTTTATTTGTTTCTCTATGAAAATGAATAAATAAGTACGCTGATAATTCAAGTTAACAAGACATGCAAATAATGTTTTATTTATTTTTTCTCTTTTTAGGGATGCCAATAATGTTTTAATAACAATAAGCATAAATAAATATAGCCAATTGTAACTAAAAAAAATGATATCATAATTTTTTTTTATAATAACAGTGTAAAGTTATTCGGAAGTTTTTAAATTTGACCTAAATAGAATTGTGGCTGTATGAAAATCAACAATTTCGTGTTGTGCATAATAATGGTTGAAAAAAAAAAAGTTGGAAAAAAATAGATACATCTTCTCGACTATAATAGTATAGATGTATGTTCACAAGTTAAAATATTTATGTAATAAAAAAAGATACTAAATGAGGTGTTTAAAAAGAAAATTAATGAAAAAATATTTTACCTGAAAACCAAATAAAAATTTTAATAAAGAATGGGGAAAAAAAGAAGAACAAGCAAATGCAAAGCAAAAGCATGAAGCAAAATGTGGAAGAAAAATTCAAAGTGTGAAGGTAAGAAGTTGAAGAAAAAAAAGTGCAAAATTAATCCACACATACTAACTTATATTAAGTATCTAATCATTTTTTTAGGGATGCCAACAATGTGTTAATAATGATAAACCTAAATAATATAGCCAATTTATAATTATTTTTAAAACTAAAAAAATGATATTCATAAAAAATTTTCCCATAATAAGTTTAAAATTTTAACCTAAATAAGATTATAATTCTATAGAAATTAATGATTTCATATTATGCATAATGATGGTTGAAAAAAAAATTGAGAAGATATATATCTTCTCTACTATAAGTATAAATTCATTAGTGAAAATACTTGTGAAATTAAAAAAAAAACAATAAATAAGGTGTTTAAAGAGAAAATTAATAAAAAAATATTTAAATGGAAAACAATGAAAATACAAGATTTAAAAAAGAAGAAGAAAAAGAAAATTATTTAAAATACAATCAAAGAAAATGGGAAGGAAAAAATTTAAAAAACATAATTTAAAAAAAAAAGCTTCAAAGTAAACCCAAAAAAAAAAAAAAAAAAAAAACCGCAACTAGGCACACAGTTGAAGTACTAAAACTTCAATTATATAAAAAAAAAATTAATGAGGTGTTTAAAGAGAAAATTAATGAAAAATATTTCAATGGAAAACAATAAAAAATACAAGATTTAAAAAAGAAGAAGAAAAAGAACAATATTTAAAATACAATCAAAGAAAATCTAAAGGAAAAAAGTTGAAAAACATAATGAAAAAAAGAAACCAAGAGAAGTAAGTAGGCACACAGTTGAAGTACTAAAACTTCAAGGGTAATCTTAACAAATACTCTTTGAAAGTGCATGGGTCATAATTTTTATCTAACTCTTGATTCATAACTTTTTTTATTCAAATAATTATACTAATAAAATGATATTTATTAAGAGTAAGGAATAAAAGTTCAGACTCATGCACTCTTAAGTGTAAATTTTATAATTTTTTCTGTGCATCCGCGCTTCTTATTATAGAATTTAAATTGTAAATAGTACTTAAGTTTTATTAGGTTAAAATGCCAAACATGCTCTTTAATTAGTTGAAGTACCCATGTTTGAAGTTTTTTTTTTTTTTTTTTTTTTTTTTTAACAGGAAAAATAAGAGGCATTAGAAATCAACTACACTTTCAACTTTAGTAGAAAAGTCAAACGCACCCTTAGTTGAAGGACAAAAGCAAAACAAAGACCGTGTTTGGAATTGATTATGTTTTTATTTTTCACGTTTTTTGAGAAAGAAAAAATAAAAACGTTTATAAAATGGTATTTGGCGCAATAAAGACAAAAAAACAGAAATGAAAATAGTTTTTTAGTTTAGTATAAAATGAGAGAGAAATGAAAAATAATTTTTAATCGTTTTTCATTTTTTGTAACAATACATTTAGAATTTTTCGAAGAGTAAAGTATATGTGAGTGCCTGTGTAACTTTGTACTTGCTAGCTTTTTTATTTTCAACCAGAAAAAAAACCTTTGTACTAGTATATGGGTATTTTTAGACAACTTTACTTGATAATGTTTAGGCTAAAATTAGTGCAACTAGGGGTGACCGCTGATCGGATTGGATCGATTACAAGTAGTCCGCAATCCAATCAATTTCTGTAGATCGAAAAAATCTCAATCCGTTACTAATTTTTTAGACCCCAATCCAATTCAATTATCAATGGATTCGCCGATTGAATTATGTGGATTCGTAGATTAACCTCCATTTAACCTCCATTTTGGACCTCAACTCTTGTAGCCCATCTCCTTTTTCATTTTTCTCATAAAATAATGACAAAATTAGACAAAAAAATAAAATAACATAAAGTAATTCAACAATTACAAATTAAACACAAAACTGAGGAACGAACAAAGAGAGTGAAGAGACTGGAGAGAATGAGGTGTGGCGGCAAGAATTTGATGCTGATTAGGTTTAGGGTTCCTAACAATTGAAATGGGCTTGGGAGTGTCTAAGCCTTGGGATTTGTAAACTCTTAAACACTTGTTAGGCCTTGGGCTCTAAATACATAGTATTGCATAATTTCATGGGCAATCCTCACAAATATCCTGAAAGTGTATGGATCAAAATTTTTATCTTTTTAATTAAATAATTACACTAATAAAATAATATTTATCAAAAATAAATGGTAAATGTCCAAACTCAAGCACCTCAAAGGTAAATTCTCTATTTTTTCTAATTGTTTTCTTTCATATATACAATATATATACACTATATGTATTATATAATTGAAAAAGAAATTCTATTACTTATGTTATTAAATATATATATATATATATAAACTTTATATATATATATATATATATGATAGATGGATTATGCGGATTGAGAAATGTTCAATCCGCAATCCAATACGTTGTTGTGGAATGAAAAAATTTCAATCCATTAATAATTTAAAATTTTTTTAATCCAATCCAATCTGCTGCTGGATTGGATTGGGTTATGTAGATTTGTCAGATTGGCAGATTCGATGAACACTCAAAGGGTGTGTTTGGTTGGGTGGGAAGAAAAAAATAGAATGGAATGGAATTTAAGTTTGATGTTTGGTTAGAATTATAAGAAAGGAATAATCATTTAAAAAGAATGGTCATTAACCCATTTTAGGTGAATCATCATTCCTTCATCATATAGGAGGAATAGCCATTCTAAGTTATTTTCTTTATTTTTTTTCTTCCATAATTACCCTATAATATTATAATATAATTAAAATATATTATATAGTACTTATATCTTATAATATGTAATATAATATAACATACAATAAAAATGTTATAATATAATAATCAATTTATAATATAGTTATAAATTATAATATATTTATTTAATATTCTATAATAATGTATATAATATATTATAACGTAATTATATCTTATAATATAATATATAATAATATTACAATATAATATAATAATACAATAATATGATATAATATAACATAGTTGTAATATTTTAACAAATAATATCACAATTATACAAATAATTCTAATATAATTATTTTATTGCATAATATTGTATTATAATTATATTATATAATATTAATATAATTATGTTCATTATAATAATAATAATAATGTAATAATTAATAAACTTAAATATTAATATCATCTTTTAATTCTAATATTATTATTTATTATAGTATATTACACACGACCACCACATAATGTATTAATTATAATATATTTAATATATATAATATAATAATTATATATTATATTATAATTATATGTATACTATAATATAATATTGTTGTAATTTTTAATTATATTATAAAATATTATTGTTTCTTACATAATATTATAATCCGTTTTATAATATTATAATTATATTAACCATTTTAATAATATTATTAATTTTATATATTATATTAATTATATTGATATATAAAATATTAATGTTATATATAATATAAGGGTAATTTTGTTAATACGAAAATATTCATGTTCCATTTTATATTATTTTTAAAATTACAATCAAATAAATGAATCAATTTTCTTTTTCATTCCATTACTATTACCATTCTCATTCCCATATTAATATTCCTCACTGCTACCAAACGCACCGTAAGTGCAATTATGTGATATATATTCAAAGGAAATGTTGCATATCGCATGCATTATTTAGTTACATCATTACCCTGATTTACTTTATATATCTGCGTTACAAGCTGACCATGGTTTATATATGTAATCAATTCGAACACACACACACACAGATATATCTTGAAACAAACGACTAACATTTTATACTATTTACTTTCTAGTTAGGCCCTAACTGCGACATCATCGAAATTAACAGATTTACTAATAAGTGTATATATATACGACACCTTAAATTATCTGCTATAAAGATCGTAACAAAACCTGATCGGCATTAGTACCCACGAGTTCTTCTTTGCTGCCTGGTCGTAATGGAGCAAATTAAGAAGAGAAAATAGTTACAATCTAGAAGCAATTTGCTGCTTGCTTAGTAAGATCAGATCCTTCCTCAAGATTTTGCCGGCAGTTGACCTCGGAATGGCATTTGTAAACCCCACTTTTCTTACTTTCTTGTATGGCGCCACCTGGAATTTCCGTTGTGAATTTGGCTCACACAGATTGTGATTAATTGATGTTAAAATACGATATGATGTAGGGCGCATGATTCATAAATTAGTATAAAACGACGTGAGAATTGACATTATCATGAGCCAACTCGAGTTATGATTTAGCGTCACAGTGGCTAGCTAATTATCGATGTTGTCTAGAAAGAAAAATTGGTTGATGAGATAAGTACCTGATTAGCGACATATTCGATGACTTGTGCCTCAGTGAGTTGCGATCCAACAGCTCTTACCACATACGCCATTGGTATTTGTCCTGCTTCTTCATCTTCCACCCTACAAAAACATTATAATTATGTTTCTTACTGAATATTTAATTGACAATTCATTCTTCACCATATCGGTCAACGTGATCACATGACAGTATAACGGTTAGGAAAAGGCGGTCACAACTATATATGTTTATAAGGGACTGATTGAGTACATTACTTCATGGAATAAGCTGCTTTTTGTTTCACGAGTTCAAAATTTGTTTATAGGAGTGTTTGATAATTTTTCGGAAAAGCTTTGGCCTGCTAAAAGACTTTTCAGTCAAATACACAAAATATGATTTCACAAAATAGCCTTTTTAAGACTTTGAAATTAGTATTGGAGTTTTTAATGACTTTTATAAACTTCAATCTACCATGTTTATTGCTCATTCAAATATATATATATATATATATATATATTTATTTATATACACACAAATATATATTTGTCCTGTTCCAAACAATAATCTATCCACAAAACATATTTTCGACAGCCTAAAAATGCAAAAGAAGTGTCAAAAGCCCTTATTATAGGTAGAGATTAGAAAAAGATGCCATGCATGGCAACTTACGGAATGACAGCCGTGTCGAGAATACGAGGATGTGCCAGAAGTATTGCCTCCAACTCTGCCGGAGCAACCTATATAATTATATATACATATAATAAGAAGTCAAAATTTTATATATATGCTTTTGGATATTTATATATATATATATATAATAGGTTATTCATATATCTACAAAACCATGTTCTATGGTATATATAGTAGTATTACTATCAACCTGATAACCATTGTGCTTGATGAGCTCCTTAAGCCGATCAACGACATAAAGAAAGCCATCCTCATCAAAATAACAAAGATCCCCGGTTCTCAGCCACCCATCTGAGACAATTGTCTCAGCCGTTGCTTCTGTCTTTCCCAGGTACTCTTTCATCACAGTGGGACTCTTTATCCAAAGCTCTCCTTCCTTATAAGGAGGTAAAGACTTTCTTGTTTCCACATCAACTATCTTAGCGCAAAACCCAGGAATCAATCTCCCAGAAGAACCTGATCGTGTCTTAGCATCCTTATTGGACGCGAAAATTGTCGCAGCCCCGCAGCTTTCTGTCAAGCCATAGCCGGGCCTCAGCTCAACCCATGGAAACCTATTTGTTAGATATATCAAGTTCATGGCAAATATACTCTATAATAGAGTAATTTTGTTGAAGCAAATTATAACGTCATATAAGACCATTCATGAGTATTTAGTCTATTATACACGTACATTCAGACCACCAAACTACTCTTAGAATTTGGATTAAAAAAGTTTAGGGACACTACCAATTCAGAGCACTACAATTAATATATAAAGAATGAACCTCATATATTAATCTCTTTTATGTCCTATTTTTCATTAGTTTTTGGCACAAAACACCATTAGTACCTCTAGATATTCTGGGTATAATTTCATAACTTGTTTGTTGATAGGAGCATGTTTAAGTTGAAATACAACTCTAGGATTAATAGAATGCATATTTGGTTGGATGAATTGGCCAAAAAAAAAAAAAAAAAAGGGAAAAAGAACAGCCATTATTTTATTTGGTTGGACTTACCACATGGTACCATTATTTGATAATTGTCATAATTTTTTTTCTTCTATATATCAAAATTACTTAGTCAAATTAATTATTTAGATCTTGTTCAATTCGTCGATTTGAGTTTTCAATTTCAGTTTTATAAAGATTATCGATCACAAAAATTTTAAGATGCATGGGAGTTCCCCACCTGTATTATATTATATCTATGGTGTTGGTCACTAGCTATATACGTTCAAAAATCTACGAGATTAGTTGATTAATCAGAAGTATTTTCCATGATAATTAAATTTAAACATATCCAATGCATGCATGTGTGTCACGTAGGAAAACCACACATATAAACCAACAAACCTCTGCCTGAACTCCTCGACCAGTTCCTTGCTCAACGGCGCAGCCCCGGAACCCACCCTCCTCAGCGAAGACAAGTCGACGCCGGCAAATTTTCCGGCGTACTTCACCATCCCCAGAATCACCGGCGGGACCGCCGGTATATTATTAACCCTGTATTCCTTTACGGCGTCCAACATCACTTTTAACTCGAATTTCTTCATCAAAACCGTCGTCGTTCCGACACAGAACAATCCGAGCCCGAAAAACGCCAAGCCGTAGATGTGAAACAGAGGAATGAAGCACAAAAACACGTCGTTTTGGGCTGACGTCACGTCCATAGACCATTTGAGGAGCGTTATGACGGAGATGAAGTTGGCGTGGGTCAAAACTACTCCTTTGCTCGTCCCGGTCGTCCCGGATGAGTAGAGAATCGCCGCCGTATCGGACTGACACGGCCGATTTTTCCGCTCCAACTCGGCCGGTTCGCAGCTCTCGATTAGCTCCTCGACAGAGAGAAGGACGTCCTCACCGCCGTCCGTCGGCCGAGAGGTGAGGATAGTTGGAACCCCAGTAGGGATTAGCTTGTGAAGCTCGTCAGGGCCCGAGATAGCGAGTTTTGGATCTGAGTCGCTGACCTGTAGTGACGGAGCCAGAAATATTTGTTCAAAAACATGAATAAAACTAAAATAAAAAATCTCGTAATTAATATTTTTTTTCTACTTTTGAATTTTCATTTTGCTTTTTCTAATTTATGCATATTTGAGGATTTTTTTTTTTTTAAAGCTCAAGCAGGTTTTGTCTCTCTAGTTACCTGTTTAGCAATTTCTGATTCGGTGTTGAGTGGGTTGGCAGTGGTCAGAATCGCTCCTATAGATAATACGGCCAAACAAATTGTTGGATAGAGAAGAGAATTTGGCGAGAGAACGAAAACGACGTCGTTTTTCTGGATCTTGAGCGCGTGCTGGAGACCCGAGGCGAGGGAGAGGACCGAGCGGTGGAGTTGCGCGTAGGTTACGCGCTGATTTGTGGCCGAGTCAATGAGGGCGATTCGTAACTCGGCATGGTGTAGGGATGGGAATTGTGAGAGTACAAATGTAGCCGTGTCGAGGTTGGGGTCTTTGGGGATTTTGTGACGCTCGCCGAGGCAGTGGAGGGAACGGTATATCCCGTTGCGTTCGTTGAAGCTCGGTAGCGGCTTGTGATCATCGGTGGCAATGGTGGCGACTGGCGTTGACCATGTTTCCTCGGTGGACATGATTGATCAAGATTTTAGCAATGTATTTGAATAAACTAAGCTTTGGCGTAACATTATTTCATGAAATAAATAGAGATTAGTTGCATCGGTAAGTACGTCAATAGAATTTAGAAATTGTACAGCTCTTGTGCAAATTATATTTATGCTTGGTGTAGCCGGCTTTGGCCAAATGACCAATTCAAAGATATGTTTTTATACCTAATATGCTTGGAGAAAGACAACAATGAATAAAAAACTTGGTGATGAGTAGATAAAAAAATATATTTATTCTCATGTTCTTTTAGTACTATTTCTGAAGAATATGCCTTTTACTTTGAGGGTCGGTAATCTTACTCGTTTGGGTATTATCGGAATTTGAAAAAAAAAAAAAAAAAGAAAAAAAAAGTAAAGGATTTTGCTGCCGTCCTATCTACAAGAAATAAAAGCACAATACGGTTGATTTTAGAGATTTTAAGATTTACATTTAAAAAAATTTCACATCATTCTCAATGGTAGATATAACAGGTTTAGGTTTTATTTTATTAGTGATTTAACTTAAAAATCTCATCCATCCCATTTCACAAAACTACCCTCTCCAATTAAGGTTCTAATCGTTTTCTTTTAGGGAAGATACTTGCATAACATATATTTCAATATTATGGGGACAATTGCTCTTCAAATAATATGGCAACCTAAGGAACAAATTGCATGTAAACGGTAGGCTTTTTCTACCATGTTTTTTCAATGAGTTTATTTTATTAGATAATTCTTGCGGTTTGTTCAGTGCTAGCACTTGATTCATTTTGGGATACAGAGGTAAATAACATATTTTTAAAATGGGTTTCTAAGTAAATAGCATATATTTGAGATGATTGATGTAAATAACATATTTACTGGTAAATTTTTATTTATCCATTGTAAATATAGTATTTATTAGTAAATATAAAAATAGGTGACCAAATCTTCTACATCGTTATGACTAATAGTAATTATGGTATTAACTATTTCGCTTTGGATTCACTTTTATTGCAATGTTTCATTCTCATCATTTTGCTTTCAACATATACAATTAGGAACACCCATCATTCCTATTTTCAGTTCAATTAGGAACACAAAATTCTAACCAAGATAAAATTACTAATAATAATTATCTCACTTACTCTATGAATCGTGTGATAATTACCACTTGTACTGGTTATACATGTCCAAATAAACATGCAGGAACGTTTGGTATTAACTATTAACGGAAATGGTAGAAAATAGGCCAATATGAAAAGCTTAAGGAAGTATATAGGCTAACTTTTAGTTATAGAAATTAATAGGTCATAACTTGTCAAGTTATGGTTCATAATCAGATAAGTTATGGACAAATTTGTCAAGTTATGGTTCATAGCCAGACAAGTTATGGATAAAAATTGTAATTTATGGATAATAACTTGTCAAGTTATGGTTCATAACTAGACAAGTTATGGACGAAAACAGTAATTTAGCCTATTTATTAACTTAGGTAAACTATTAGCCTATTAATTTTAATTCATCTCAAGTCTTGGTCTATTTTTTTCTCCCAACTATTAAATATGGTAATGGGTGATGGTTAAGACTCCATTTTTTTCTCCGATGCTAGAAATAAAACTATCTCGTGCTGCTTCTTTATTTTTATTCTTTTCACGTCACTTGGTTTCAGCTTCTTAATTCAGAAGGTAATGATGTTTCAAAATGAATGTACTGCTCAAATATCGTATAGTTAACACCAAAGGAAGCCATTATTTTTATTTATTTATTTATTTATTTTTACATTTCTCTATTTTATTCGCAACTATCTCATCTGGGCCACAAGTGGGGAAGCTTGGCAATATCCTACAGGTAGAATTATAATTTATTCCATCTCTCTTATGTTTGTGTTTTTTCTTTTTTTTTTTAAAATAAGGTGAGATTCAATATCTTGTTTGAAGAAAGGCTAACAACACTCTTTTTGTCACTTTCTTTATCAATCTCTTTACTTATTGTTTAACACATGGACTCCATTAATATGATATATGATTATTTAAATAGAAAATGAGATAGTGGAATCTACTTAACAGTGAATGGAGAGAGTGACAGAAAAAGTGTTCTTAGCTTTTCTCTCTCGTTTGTTGAATGAGCTTGTGTTCTGATCTAATTGCTCTTGATCAAACTGGTGGTGGTATGATCCACTCATTAATTTGAGAGCATCCACACATTAATTATTCAGTCTGTATTCAATGGGTTGAGGCTCGTGAACTACAGTACTTCCCGAGCCAAATTAAGGCTTTAATTCTTTCAAGAAGGAAAAGCACTACAGAAGACTACTTTGGAAAGAGTATTTCAAAAGTTGTTATTACTGTTTCGGCACATTTCAATTATGCCCAAAAATGAGGAATAATATATGCTTGTATAATGGCAGGTCTTCAAGTACAAAGTATAACAAATGAGGCAGTTGGTGCTGCACTTTATTATGGATGGAAGTACAATGTGCAAGGTCTCTGCAATTTTTCATCTTGAACCTTCAATAATGGTCTTTTTGGGCACTTATTTCAACCATGTTGAGAGGTTTTTCGTCATTATCTTTACCTATGACAAATTTTAATATATATATATATACATACATATATATATATATATTAGCTGATAGCAATAAATGAAGATATTATGACAAATTTTAATATATATATATATATTAGCTGACAGTAACAAATGGGATATGTTCTTAGTGTTAGCGTTTATGCCATTAGGAATAAATGTAACAATATTTTTTGAGACATTTTGACTATTAATAAAGATTTGTTTATTTCATATATCTATGTATTGTCCTCTTTATGTTCATAATAGTTGAATGTATGATAAGCAAACTGAAAGTCTGAGACTGTTATTCTAAATCTTTAGGTCATGCATGTAATGTGAAGAACATGCGGAAGACAAGAATATAAAGATGATAGTCTAAATCATATGATCCATAATCGAGAGAATAAAGTTGAGCGCTTTATTCATGTTAAGATTGTTATGTTGTCTACTTCCTAACGGAGACGACTTGTCTTGGTCGTCGGAGGTGGGACTCCATAAGTAGAGACATTGATATAGTTTCTAATGGTGAAATCTATATTGGATCGGACCAAAGTTAAATTATTTTAATTAATAATTCTGTTTGAATAAAACAATTCACTTTTGACGAATTATATGTTGTCATCTTAATCCTGAGATGGATAATGAACCCCTATGCTTGACTTGTATCCTTTGATGTCCTAAAAGGAGACATCCTGACATTATGTAAAGGTACGCTTACCGGTACATTTGGGGTATGACTTGTGTATGCATAGATTCATTATTCATAGATAGTGGAGTCCATAGCTCCTATAAAGAGTCAATGATATCCTCTTATGCATTATTAGTGGATTGAAAAATACGAGCGCTCGACCATTAGACTACTCTGTATTATCTAATGGTTTACTGTTTGTAATGGTACGAATAGTATTTTTCCGATGGTATGATAATGGAACATAAGATAAATGTAATCGGGAAGGTAAAACATAACTTGACCTCAAGTCGATTATGGATATCCTATGGGGATGATACACTAATATATTGAGTCATAGACTAGAGCTAATCAGAGCTTTGTAAATACGCTATATAAATCGAGAGTGCAGCTCTAGGCTTTTAGTGGAATAGCACTAGAGTTTTATAATCATGAGATGGACTTGTTGGTTTACAAGTAACGTTGTGATTATAGGAGCTTGATTTATATATGTCCATCGGGTCCCTTTACTAGCTCATATAATTTCTTGTAACGATACGGCGTATGTCCTACACATTGGTAACTTGTGTTATTTCCGTAAAAGAGGTTCAAAGTTAATTCATGGGTGATTCATCAGGTGAATTAATTGATAAATTAATTCTAGATAAATTGGTTGAATTATTGTTTTAAGAGTTGTTTAATATGGGAAGACTATTATATGACTGTTTTGATCTGGTAATTTCTCTATTGGGTTGCTTGAATCAAAACTGAGGCTCTATGCAAGTTTCCCGTGTTGAAAAACTAGGAAAACAACTTTCGTCAGTGCAGACAGGTCGACCGGTCCGGTCGACCGGTTAGTGAAGACAGGTTGACCGGTGAGTTATAACGTCTCTGTCACCGGTCGACCGGTTGTAACGTAAAATGCATGCTGACGTGGCAAAATCGACTCTGGATGCGATTAGAATTTTGGGAAACCTAATTATTACGGAAGTATAACTTCCTAAACACTATAAATAGTCTACTAAGTCACTTTATTCATTAGATCACTTGAGAAATTTTTTTGAGGCCATTGATAAAAGATTCCTGAGAGGAAAAATTGTTTAATTCTCAAGAATAATTTTTTCTTTGGCTCTCTTGTGATTGGAAGGAGATCAAGAATACCAAGAGGAGATTGAACGATGTGTTCCCACTTGCACTCCGATTGTGGAAACGAGAATAGCAAGAAGACCAGTTGGTTGAGGCTCTTCCGGTTGCTGTTTAGAACGCTTTGATCTGTCAGACGTGCAGTTTCTTAAATCTCAAAAGGTATGATTTAGATCTTTAGTATTTATGTTATATAGCATCATGAACATGTTCTTGGTTGGCTTTGACGTTGATTTAAATTTTTTAAAATTCTGCTGCGCACTCGATGCCATTATTTTCGAACACTTAGGAGGTATTGAGGGGTGGTCATTTCATGACAAGAAGAGTAGGCACCCAACCCGAACAGGCCGAACAGAGAAGATTATTTCGAATAGGCCGAATAGGGAAGAACATTCCGAATAGACCGAGCACCTGGACCGAATAGGCCGAATAGGGAAGAATATCTCAAACAGGCTGAGCACCTGGTCCGAACATGCCGAATAGAGAAGAACATCTTGAACAAGTCGAGCACCTAGTCTGAACAGGCTGAACATGGAAGAACATCCCGAACAGGCCGAACAACTAGCCTAAATAGGCAGACCAGGGTGAGCACTTGATTCGAAGAGTCTGAGCATTTGATCTAGAAAAGCCT